AAATTTTCTCTCATTTATGAGAACAAAAAAATAAAAAAATGAAAGCACGAGGCAATAATTTTTGGGGAGAAAAAATGGGAGGATTATTTTTTAAAAATATTTTTGTAAATATTTTTACTTTTAGAATTTTTTAAAAAGTATAAAAATAAAAAGGATTTTTGAAGAGGTGGAATATTTAAAATAAAAAAATGAATGAAGATTAAGGCTCCAAACGGAGTTTAAAATATAGAGTGTCTCTTCGTGAATTTTAGTATTTTGGTTTTCAACAACATTTAAACTTGTTGAGGACATCACAAGTTGACGACAACATAACACTTGACGACATCGTTGTCGATAACATCACAACTCTTCGAACGTTGACGACAACATCACAAGTTGACGACTATAATGTCCGATGTTCATGCTGTAGAAAAATTGTGGATGGGAGATGGAATTGAACCATCAAGGAATGAGCCCAAACCGAAAGCACAACCGACTGTGCAACCATCCAACCCGATGTTGGGTTATTTATTTTCATTTATGTTCTTTCTGCAAGTGCGGACACAACAACGACAACATCACGCTTGACGACATCATTGTCAACAACATCACAACTCTTCGACCACGTTGACGACGACATCAAAACTTGACGACAACAACACAACTCTTCGAAAACTTGATGACGACACGTTCAACATTTCGACACGACATCCACGACTGACTGCATAAGTTGACGACGACATCACAAGTTGACGACAACATTGACGACGACAACACAATTTGCCGGCTCAATCTACAAACGGAGTCGACGACAACTTAAGTTCTTGACAACTTAAACACAGAACAACATATCAAAACTTGACAACAACATAAACAAATAAAAAATATACATAAATAATTCAAAAATAAAAGATTCAAAAATTGTTTTTAAGCAATTTTTAAAGAAAAATAGAAAATAGAAAAATTATTAAAGAAAAAAAGAGTGTCATGAATAAAAATAAAATTATTTTTATTTTTCGTTTTTAGAATTTTTAATTTATTTAAATATTAATTCACTAATTTTGGTTTAAAAATAAACAAAAAAAAATATTTTTTGTGTTTTGTTTGTATTATTTTAATTATTCAGAGAAAATAAATAAGGGGGGAAACCGGAAATTGTTAAATATAATTTAATTAAGTGAGGGGGAGAGGAGGGGAGGAATGAAAGGGAAGGGAAAAAATATTTACGTAAAGAAGGGAAATTGTTTTGAAAATTGAGATGCTAGTAGCTAGTAGTTAATGAACATTTAGCATAAATTGTTTTTTTTTTTGAAAAAAATTGTTGAGAAATAGGATAACAATTAACAAAAATATTTTTTAAATAAGCTGAATATAAAGTAAATTTTAATAAAAAAATTTTAACAAGCAGCTTTAGTTAATCCTATGGAATGTTTAATGGTTGAGTAAAGCTTTAAGTAGAGAATAAATAAAATTATAATGGCTTAATGGTAGAGTAAGAAAATTAACAAATAGGATTTAGTTGCCCGCCTTGGATAAAGCGGGCAACTCTTGTTAACGGCCTTGTTATTGAGAGCCTTTGAGAGAGGACTTGAATATAGAGTAGCCGACTGGTGCGCCAGTTATAGTGTGCCAGTTTACCGGTGTGCCAGTTTCACGTTTTTTTGGATTTATGCCTTACACTTTTTTAAAAGTTATTTTCGCCTTTCGAGTTTTGCTTTTTAAAATCTGTTTCAGTATTCCCTAATATTCCCCTGTATATGTACATCTCGAAATTAGAGGTACAGTCCAATGGTTAATCAGCGTAAAAATGGTGTATCGGTTCATTAAAAATCTTCAAAAAATCAAAATCAAAGAACCGAAAAATCCTCGATAATTCGATCCGACAAACTTTAGATAAAAAATAGGATATTGCCCTTAACCTCTTTGGGGTCGAGTATTAATTAATTAAATTAATTACGCAGCTAATGTGTTTTAAACAAAAATAAGACACACTCTCTCGTTCAAGTCATTTAATCAAAATTAGGGCTACTATTTCTCTCTCATTTTTACAATAAATTAGGTAATTATAATTTAATTTACCTGTTCCATTGAGGGAGAAAGAGATGAAGATGAATTTGATTGGCTTCCATGTAAAATAGTATTACTTCCTCCATTCTCCACAGAATGTTGTTGTTGAGAGGGAATAGTTGCTGAAGTAAATTCTCGTCTTAAAATGTGTTGTTGTTCAAGTAAATGTGCCATACTTCCAGTTCCTGGCCCAGAACGGTGGCAACGGCTGTTTAAGGCTGAAATGGCTGCTAAATCGGTGAGGGCGGCAGACTTGAGAAAATTTTTTAAAATTAGATGATTATTTTAACGATAAAAAGTCGGATTTTGCCCTTAACCTCTTTGGGGTTGGAGAAATTATATTTAAAAACGAGGATTGAGGGTATTGCTTAGATTGACGGTATTGCTCAAGAAGCTTCTCCACCCAACTGCCAAAGGAATTTAAAAAATCCCCTTAGCCATTGGGTGGGTATTTAAGAACGTGATATTTAATAGTGCGATTCGATGCATAATCGAAGAGTATATATCGATCTATAATCGAACGATATGATTCAATTATATTTTAATCCAATACCAATGGACTACTTAGAGCAAAAGCTTTCAAAAAATTTTGTTGGAAATTGGGTTTTAATTAACTGAATTATGCTAAAAACTCGTTCAAGTCCCCAAGGTTTCTATTCTCTGTACCGGAAACGTCAAAAAATTAGGAACCGGAAATGTGACAGAATTCAAGTTTTGGAGACAGATGATAAGGCGAACTGTGTTTAAGGAACTTGGCCTCATTGACTCGAAAAACTTTATTTATTACCATATTTTGTTGTGGCTGTGAAGAATCTGCAGATGAACAGGCAGACCCAGAAGAGGCAGAATACTTACGAGAAGAAGAGCAATTACTACTTGATGAATAAAAATCGCGGGGACTGCTTGGAGCAGAGGCTAAATTAACAAAAAAAAATTTGCAAGGAATTTGATTAAGATTAAATTTTAATACAAAGATGAAATTAAATTTAAATGCATGAACAGTTGCAAGATTTGCAAGGTACATATTAAGGAATACCAAGAAACTTTTGCAAAATTACAAGAAATATTTTTGTTTAAACAATAAATTTTTCGCAAAAATCTTTTTAATTTAAAATTTTCAAAAATTTTTTTAATTTCTACTTTTGAATTCTGAAAATTTCGTTTTAAAAATTATTTTTTTTTAATTTCAAAAATTTTTTGTTTAAACACAAAAAGCTTACGCAAAAAATTTCTTTAATTAAAAAATTTTCAAAAGAATTTTCAAAAATTTTTTTAGTTTCTAAATTTTTTGAATTACGAAAATTTGCCATAAAAATTAATTTTTTAAATTTCATAAATATTTTTAATTTATTTTTAATCAAAAATTTTTCTAGACTTCGAACTATTATTTTTCCTTCCACAAAATATATTTTCCTATTTCCAGAAAAATTATTCCCTTAGAGAAAAATTTTTTTTTTAATTTACCAAAAAATGCTTGAGAAGGTGGTGGAGGTGTCAGAGCAGAATTATTAGTAGTTGCCGATAATGATGGCGATATAGAATTTGTACTCGTTATAGAAGGCCGACCACTCGCAATACTTAATTTCGCGATCATCTGATTTTCCTCATTATCGAGCTCTATATCATTAGACAAAATGTCTTCCTCTTCTTTTTTGTTATTTAGGGTTAATTTGGGTTTAGAGAAGGCAATTCGAGGTCCTGACATGGTAGCCCCAAGGCTGGAAGCAACAGGGCGGGTTGTTGGGGATAATGGCATTGTTTCTGTCTGTTCGGTAAGACTGCGGCGTTGGTGTTGTAGCTAGATTTAAAAGGGAGGAATTTACAATTTCTTTGATTTTAACTGATTTTTGATTTACACTTCTACAATGACAGTAATTTTAAATACAGTCAGACTTCGCTATAAAGTACACCCAACACCTCAATTTAAGATACCATATCTTCTTATATAGAATTTTCCTAAATAGAGCGAGCATCCCTTGCTGAACGGATTTGTCTTTGAGAGAGAATCTTTGAGAAGGGACTGAATATAGACTAGCCGATTTCTCTATTGGAGAAAATACGGTGCGTTATTTAATTTTGGTTGGCATTGGGTAAGGGAAGACTGACGAGTATAGGGAGTATAAATGGGATGCTTCTAATATAAAATACCCCTCATAAAGTAGTATGATTTTTAGGCCTCAAGGAGGGTAATGTATACTGAGTTATAAAGTTTCTTCAGCGTTAAGAGGAGGTATCTGTAGTGAGAATTGACTTTATATATTAAAAAATTAATTAAATATTATACTATTTCTGTTGTTTTTTCCTCTTTTATGTTTCTACTAGATAATGTCCGTCCATGCCTTGTAACGTTATTATTGTTACAAGTTAAGGCATTTGTTGAAGGTATTTTTAATAGAGGGGGTTGTTGTTTCTGGGTATTATGTTCTTCTTCATTAATATAAGGAGGAAGAGGGGAGAGAGAAATATTGTTAGCTAAAGTTATAACATTATTAGAATCATTTTCGAAATTATTTTGTTGTTGTTCTAATGAATGGTGAGTCCAGGGTGTTGGAGGCAAATTGGATGAAGCATTTGAACCCCTGAGGAAAATTAATAAAATTTTAATTTAAAGAGGCTTTGATTGTGTGTTAATTTAAAAATGTGAGGTAACTTTTGGGTAATCCTAAGACTAAAGAAACTACTCCCAAGACCCAAGAAAGTAGAATGACTCCTAAAAACTTGCGTAAGTAGTTGATCTCATTATAACCCTTTCACAAAAGATCCTAGGAGTATAGCCATAACGGTTATATTCAGGTGGGACTAGCCGGTGAGGTTTCCTCAGAGCATTAGCAGTTTATAAATGAAAACTTCAATCGGTAGTAATATAGCTGAGCGGTTGGTTGACAACCTTGAATAGGAGAGCTCCACAGAATCAAGGCCCACCCAATGTTAAGCTACTCCAGCTTAGATTTTAATTACCTAGTCCCTCTCATATTCTTCTCTCCTTCCATTCCTTTTGTTCGACGTGTACTTCTAGTAGAACAACTCCTCTGTAAACCATTCCCATTCTCTACATTTTCTTCAATAGTTAGCGTTGCAATTCCTTCAATTTTATTACTTTTTGTTTCCCCGCTCAATTGTCTTTTAGTTATTTGATGTGAAGAATTATTATTGACAATTATAAGTTTCGGGGTAGAGTCGTATTGTTGAATATTTGGGGGTTCTGGAGGTAGTTGACGTCGAACTGAGCGACGCCTTTCAAAAGGGCTAGCAGGGGGTGGTTGTTGATAACCCACATTCTCGTCGTTGTAAGATAAGTTCTACAAAAAAAAAGTTTCGGATTAGTTAATAAACCCAATAGATTAATCCAAAAAAATATTTCGAAAAGTATGAAAGGAGAATAAAATTGTAATACCGATATCCGGTAACTTAATAATGAAATTCCTACAAATCCGAAATTTTGAAAATAATGGTTTCAGGTCTTTTGAAATTATAATGTTATCTCGGATTATACATTCATTTCACCAGATTTGTTAATGGACATGGACTTTAGTATCCGTATCCGGATATTTACGGCGAAACCAGATGGATATCTGCAGGCTTTTGAACTTATTTGTATCCATATCCGTATCCATTACCAAGCCTGCATTTCCCTATCCTGTGCCGTTCCCTAGTCTATAGGGATCTATAGGATCCCTAGTCTATAGGATCCCTATTCCAACCAACAAATTATTTACTAAAAAAGAAATTAAAATATTATTTCGATGTCCATAATTTATAATTATCATTTTAACATATAAGTTACTAACCATATTAGAAGAATTTTGAATTCCTCTAGAATTTGGGGAGAATTGTTGTAAAGGTGATGGAGGTGTTGGTAATATTCTAGGTGAACTTGTTCTCCTACTTGGTGGGAGTGTTACACTTCCATTTCCAACATCCTCGGAAAGTGGGGGTATTAATATTGCATCCTGAGAACCAGATAATCTTCCATTTGCCAAATCCAAGGGTGTTGGAGGTAGTCGACGGCGAAAGCTGCCCATTGGTGTGAGGAATTGCTGAATATTTAAATTTATTTTTTTTTTGTTGAAAAAAAATTTAAAAAGATAATTTTTAAAAATATTTTTAACTAGATTAATTACACTTAAATTGGTTAAAAAAATTTTGGAACCAAAAATCTTGCGATTTTAAAAAAATATTGGGCTGAATTTTAAACAGAATTGTATACAGAATTTTCTTGCTTCTGCATTTCGATTCCGAACCGCTAACCTTACCGTCCGGACCGTCGCGGTCAATATGAGACTCATTCCTTTTATGGGGTGTTATTGCCAGTTGGAGGCTTAATCCTTTCAAATTTCTTCTAATTTTTTGATTTAACCGACTGTTGTGGATTAAATTAAAACCTTAAAACCTTGCAATAGGTTCAAGGTTTTTAAAAACCCTCGTTAATATTAAATAATAAATTTTTATTGTGAAATATATTTTATAATTATTTATTAAAAATATTTTTTAATATTTCGCAAAGAATTACAAAGTGCAAAATTTTAAATAATTTTTTTCAAAGCGCAAGTGAAAGGAAGTAAAAGTAAACTTTTAAAGGGCAACCAACAATTTAAATAAGTTGATTGGGAAAATATTTGAATTATGTAATAGGGCAGCAATAGTAAATTACATCAGCAATAGTGCAATATTTAATTAGATAATATTTAAATTTTAACATTTATTTTAAGTTAAAGATGAAATTTTACAATTTAATTCTTTTAAATTTTTGCTTTCTTCAACTTTTTTCGTTATTGTTTGGAATGAATCCGGGTCCTTCAGGATCGCAACGAGGAGGGATGTATCTTGGAGAAGGTTCAGGATCGCAACCAGGAGGACGAATGTATCCTGGAGAAGGTTCAGGTTCGCAACCACCAGTGGAACCCGATGTTTGTATTATTGTAATGAAATAAAAATATAAACATTTAATAGGATTTTACTCAATTGCGTGAACAAATTAGTCCTTTTATTGAAGAATTTGGCAACTTAAAGTACCTTTCGGTCATAACAAATTGGATGTTGCGTAATTTCTATTTTTTAAACAATTTATTTTTAAAAATAAAGATCCTGCGCAACCAAATACCAATATTAGAGAACAATATAATAATTTGTCTTATGTATATATTGCTTTATTAAATCAATCTGTTGAATTAAATCAACAATTAAAACAGCATTTAATTGCTAAAAACCGAAATCAGGCAAAAATATTTTTTATATAAAATCTTTTTATTTGGTAATTTAAATTTTATCAAAACAGAGAGTAGGAAAAAAATAAGAGCCAGATTAAATGAATGAAATGATAAGGCCGGGATCAGCCTAAAATCATGTGAAGATAAATCATGCTCTCAGAGAGTGCATACCCAGAGAGTTAGCAACTAACTTATCCTTGGGAAAACGATTGGTAAGTAAGCTGGTGCATATAAGTCTGAATGGAATAGGCAAGGGCAGATAACTTCATTCATTCAACTGGGTGCGAAACCCTTTGTCCTATACTCTGCGGAGTTCATTCATGATTGCAACATACTAAACTTTATTACACCAAAACCACAACCACTTTGGAGCGGAACTAGTCGCTTTACTTTATTCAACTTTATATAATTTTAATTTCAAATTCCTTAGGGTAACCCTAACTTGGAACAACAAATACATAGACTTCTCGAAATTAACAAAACCCAACAAACCAATCTTTTAGCAGATATGCGAATAATTCGCTATTATCTCTATCGACTTCATAATTCTGATCAAGCGATTCGAAATGAAGGTAACTGGCATTAATAATATTGGCTTTAAATTATTTCATGGATTAATTGACACATTTAGTTGCGGCAGCACTAATTGGACACGTCCAGCATGCGCAAGGCCATTATGAACAAAGGCAACAATATGTACATGAGCAAGGTCAACAAGGACAAGGCCAACATGGTCAAAGTGGACATGGACGAGTTCGTAGTGGTGGACGTGGTGGATCTGTTCATGGCAATTGAAGTAAGGAGTATATTAAGATATTTTAATTGATTTATAATTAAATGAAGTTATCAACAAGACGAACATACTACATATGTCTATAATTTTCTATTCTTTCTATCACAATTGGTCTATAATTTCATTAATTTTTATTTCATTTTTTAAAACATTTTTCGATAATTTGTAGTTAAAATACTCTTGTGATAAACATAGATAAATTCTGTTTTTAATTATTAATAAATAAAATAAATTTAGAATGATTAAATATAAATATGTGATTTTAAAGTTAATCAAAAGATTAAAAGGAATTTCAGAGAATTTCTAGATCGAAAAAGATTAATGCCCTTTTTACCCTTTAATTCTAGGGATATAATGAGATTTGGAGGAATTAAGTGGTGTCTCCAGGGATAACAATGATTTAGAAAAATTGAAGGATTAGGGACCTGAACGGATATCAAGGATATCCTATTCCTTCTTAGTTTTTCTTTATGCGTTATTAAATATACGATATCGGATGTCCGCTATCGTTAACGCCAAAAATGCAAAGAAAGGAAAGAAAAGTGAGCATTCTCTTTGCGGACAAGTAAGGAGTCAACTAAACATTTACCATTAATAATATATCTTATTATAATTTTATTATATTTTATGGTAATGTTTATTATTTATTATATATTATTTTATTATAAATATAATATAATATTTATACATTATTTTAAAATCGACACTTGCACTTTACAAATTGAAAAATTGATTTGAGTTAAATTCTGCCGCCGACATATAATTTCATATATTCAATCAAGAGAGTGTTTGCCCTAAATAATTAATCCCCTGATTGTTTGATTTAAGAATTTAAAAGTTCGAAATTTCGATTTATAAGGGCAAGAAGAAAGATCAGGGATAAATTACACGCGCATCTCATTGCTTAAAAAAAACTCTTAAATGCTTTAAATTTATTTTCTATATAATCTTACTTATAATTATATATTGTTTTTAAATAGTAATTAATATATTTATATGAGTGAGAGAGAGCGGATGGTTGAGTTTAGCTTAGTTTAGTTTGGAATAGTTTGAAGAGAATATAAATAAAATTAATTCAAATAATGTTCTGATGGAAATGTTGTAAAGCGAAGAGGTTTCTTTACATTTCAAGCTCGTCTTGATCAAACATGCTACCCAAACTTAAACCCAACTTATTTAAATAAAATTTCTTTTTAATATAACATGGCAAAATTTAAAAAAAAATATTTATCTTTTTTGGTGTATTATCCCATTAGGGTATTACCCAATATTGATCTCATTTTTAAAATATTCAAAACATTCCCCCAAACAAAACATTCTTTCAAAACACACATTTACTTCGATCTCTAACTTCTGATATATTTTAAATCTATTTTTTTATTATCAATGTTTTACAACCCACTCATTTAACCTTCTTCCGATCATTCCTTAACCATATAAAACTTATTTGTTTTTTATATTTTAAGCTCATATTGATCAAACTTGCTACCCAAACCTAAACCCAACTTAAATAAAACTTGATAATTATTGTTTGAGTTAGATTTTTTGAATATAAGAAGAATATTTAAATTTATTTATTATAGAAGAATCGGAACCCAATATTAGCTAAAGAAGAGGAATAGCTATAGCCCAGCTGCTTTACTATACATAGTCACTTGATTTACCTGTTAAGACATGCCTTGTCAATCTTAGCTCAATTTAGCTTAATGTTTGTCGGTAAATTAAAATACTATTTTTAATAGGGGTAAAAAGGAAGGGCAATGAGCTTATAGGCGTCCCATGAAATTGTCCAATCAGCTTAAAATTTAAAGATAAATTAAAAAAATATTTTTCTAGGGGTAAAAAGAAAGGGCAATGAGCTAATAGGCGTCCCATGTAATCGTCCCACGAACTTATGCGATGTCTTAAATTTAAGAGCTCGTTAGCTTAAAATTCAATGTCAAATTGAAAAAATATTTTTGCTAGGGGTAAAAAGTTAATTTATATAAAGAAAATATAGCCATTCAAGCCAAGACTTTAGGTGCACTTATCTAAGTCACGCCCACATTTAATTGGCTTTAAAAATAGAAGCAACTTGCTTTACTATTCATTTTATTTTATTTAATTAACTATTTGGCTTAGTTTGGGAATGGGTTTAATTTTAAAACACATCATACAAACTCACCAAATAAAGTAAAAAAATGACTGGTATTCAGTTATCCCACCCTTAATCTGGGGATGTTTTTAAATAGCAATTACTGTGTTGATTTGAATGCATTCAATATTAACATAGAAATATTTAATTTAAAGTATTTATTTACTTTAAAGATGAAAATTTACAATTTAATTCTTTTAAATTTTTGCTTTCTTCAACTTTTTTCGTTATTATTTGGAATGAATTCTGAGGGTCCTTTAGGATCGCAACATCCAGTGGAACAAAATGTTTGTATTATTGTAACAAAATAAAAATATAAACATTCTTAATAGGCTTTAACTCAATTGGATCAACCAATCAGTCATTTGCTTGTCCAATATGGCAGCTTAAAGTACCTTCCGTTCAGGACTTTTAAGTCACTACGTAATATTTAAATTTTTAAAAATATAATTTTTAACTATAAAAACAATTTACTTTTAAAAATAAAGACCCTGCACGTACGCAACCGATTACCAACATTAAAGACCAATTTGTTAATTTGGATCTTGCAAATGATATTTTATTAAACCAAAATGCTGAATTAAATCGTCAATTAAACCAGCATTTAAATGCTAGAAACCAAAATCAGGCAAAAAATATTTTTATTTAAAATGTTTTATTTGGTAATTAAACTGGATATATAAAATCGCTTGGAAAGAGAGATTGTTATAATCAAAACAGAAACTAGGAAAAACTAAGAGCGAGATAAATTAAATGATTTTATTAAAGCCGGGATTAACCTAAAATCAAGTGGAGAGATATTACATCAAAACAACAATCACTTGTGAACGGGACCAACCACTTTATTCAACCATATATAATTTAAATTTTAAATTTGTTAGGGCAACC